AAAAAAAAAAAAAAAAAAAAAAAAAAAAGGAAATGTTGAAACTACACCAAAAAGTTTCATTCCTTTTCTCTCTCCCCCCTTTTGCAATTTCTAATGTTGTACAAGAGAGGAAAAGGCTACGGATTCTAGAAACATGAATGCTCATGAATTTTATATAAAAACAAAGATCAGATCTTTCATAAACCTTGACTTAGTAAAGCAATATGATGTCTACTCCCTTCATGGTGGAAAACATATGTGAAGGACAATAAATATAGTTGGATTTTGTGGTTCCTGATGACGACTCCTAAATGGGGAGCAGAGGTGAAAATGGGGGGCCTGAGGAGTCTAGTTGCTCTTCCTTCTATCTGCCACTGATATTAGAGGTTCAAAACATTGCCTAGAAATAAAGGAAATGTAAGTTTTCTTTCAGGTCCCTGATGCACATCTGTGCAGCTGTAGTCAGTGTGTGTGTGAGTTGGGGAGGGAACGCTGAAGCATTTTGGAAGCATTCAGGATGTTGTTTAATTGGAATTAAGGCATGGTGCTAAATTGGAGGCTGGGTATAAATCAATTATATTGTGCCTGTGTTGGAGGAAGGGGATGGGAAGTGTGACAAGTGCCAGAGCAACACTAGAAAGGATGATAAGAAAGAGAGGCAGCATGTGTCATGAATGGGAGAGGGGGAGCGTGGCCTACCCATTTTGGCAGCAGTGAACTGTTGGTGATATTGAATTGTCCTGTCTCATCTCACTGCATCATCAGTTTGCTCACAGCCTGAACTTATGAAGCCATTAAGGTGCCTGTTGAATTTGTCTAAAAGTGTGTAATTGGTGTTGGGATATAAACTCTTCCCACTTCCACCCCCAACTTCATTGTATCTTCTCTGAACCCTATTCTAGAGATATTATTTGGTAGGTGCTCTGGGATTCTCCTCTTCAGATTCTCCTCTTCAAGAGGATTAATAACCTGCTTTATTCCTAATGTCAAAGTCAATACGGACTACTTGCAAGCAGAAAGGTGGGCAAACTTGCCCTTGGAAGTAATAAGCTATTTAAAGCAGCCACAAGCAAACCTGTGTTGAAGAAGAAAAAAGTTGGGAGTTTTGTTTGTTTGGTTTTTCTTCAGTTTTTCACTATGCTAGTGCTATCTACTATATTTGTTATGAGAAACATACACCTGAAGGACATCAAGATATCCTAGACTATCAGGTCCTATGTATGTTTGTTATCTGTTATACCCCAAAATTTATAAATGTATTTGATTCTAATCTCTCTTTGACTCCTTGCTGCTTATAAAATGAGGATAGTAATACTTCCCACAGGAGCATGGGTGTTATGAAATCATATTATTTGTGAAATACACTGGTAACACTGTGATAAATCCCAGGAAAAAAAGCCCACCAGGAGAGTAATAATTCTCTTTTTACAGAAAGGTTTGGATATAAGGAATGGCAAGGGTAGTTTTGTCCTCTTTATAGAATGGGAAAGAGCAAGCTACTTCTTGACTCTAGCAGTTATTTTTTCTAGTCAAAAGACAAACACCTTAAGATTCTTCCCCCAAAAAAGTATTCTATAGCTTCTCTTGCAAGCACTCTGTCAAGATTACTCAACAAATTTGTTGCATAGCATAATACAAAAATGAATGGCAAAATAGCTCCTAACCAAACAGCATGGGTGTAGGCGCAAATTGGATCTGTCCTCCTGTCGAGCTGAGCTCTAGATCTGGTTGTGCTGCTTGACCATTGTAGTTGAGAGATGTCAAAATTGACTTCGCTTTAAAGATTCTGTGTTTGAGACCAAATGAAGAAAGATGGAGAACATAGATGGTGGGAAGCCCTCCTCGGATGGTCACCCACAGCAACCAGCATTCTTAATCTCATGCTACATCCTGTTGTGATCTTGTCACTAATGTTCAAGGTATGCAAGGAATGAAGCTGGGGGTATTGTTTAGTCTCTGAGCAGTTAACAAGGTGCAACCTTGAGGGAAGGAACAAGATAATCACAAAAGAAATAGAACTACTGAACCTTGAGTGAACTATCCTAATTAACAT